AACAATATACTTTAGTCCAATAAGCCATGTTCAAAATATTTCAGTTTTATAAGTCATAGCAAGAAATGAGAAAAAATTATGTGCCTGTCAGAAGATGATTAATTATGGCACATGCATACTATGGGAGCAGTTATAAAAGTGAAATACATTCATATGTATTGTCATGGAAAGATCATGCATTCATATTAAGTGTGAAATATTTATGGCAGTATAATATGTATATCTTGACCCATTATATTTTAAAATCACAAATAATTTTATAACACAGCTATGTATGAGAAAGCCTACAATTAGCTGTAAAATAATATACTAGATTCATCGTGGCTATCTCTGAGAATGTGGCTGAATTATGAAAGATTATTGTAAGGGTAAAGATTGTGATTTGTCTTTATTTTTAACATTTTTGCACCAAGAATATGTGCACTATCAGCTTTGTCATTAAAATATTTAAATAGGCCTAACAACAGAAATAGTAGCTGTGTATGAGTGAGATAAAGCTTATGCTAGCTGATGGAAGTGACAATACCTGAAAACTAAATGGCTTAGCATAACAAAAGTGTCTACCTTATGCACATAAAATCTAATTTTGATTTGGCAGGGAATCTTGGTTACCAGGTAACAGAGATCTAGGCTGCTACCATCTTGTACTTCCACATCTCAGCATATAGTCCCCATATTTGCTGCTGAATGGATGGAAGACATTATGGTGGCATACTGGCTCTCAAATACGTTGGCCTGTGACAAACATCATTTATGTTCATATTTCATTGGCAAGGGCTCGTCACAAGATGCTTTGTGAACTTTGTGCAAGTGAACTTGGCACGGTAGTCTTCCCATGTACCCAGGAAAGAGTGGAAGACACGTTGTTGATGAGCACTTGTAGTCTCTCCCATAAACTCTTACACAGTAGGGGCCTAGTAGAGAGTGGCCACTAGAATTTGTTACATCCATAACCTCCTTCATTTTCTGGTGGAGTTCCCGAGGAGGCAAAATGTTTTTGGGATTCTCCAACTTTTGAGATCTTACTTTGTAACAGGTGTTTTCCAATACAGAGTCAGATATATTTTTCAAAAGGACCTTGTATATCTTTGCAGGAAGTGTTGGTCATACTTGACTCAAAAGCACCATTATGCACAGTCCTTTTCAATAACCACTATGATCACAGTACACTGAGAATTTTCTCCTTACTCTTGGTGCATTGACAAAACTTTACCTTTCCATTCTCTGCTATCTATCACCTGACTGAAAATGCCTGGATATCTGCACAAATGCAATTACGTGCATTGAAAACCAAGATTCTTTTTTTTTTTTTTTTAATTTTTTTTTTCAACGTTTATTTATTTTTGGGACAGAGAGAGACGGAGCATGAACGGGGGAGGGGCAGAGAGAGAGGGAGACACAGAATCGGAAACAGGCTCCAGGCTCTGAGCCATCAGCCCAGAGCCCGACGCGGGGCTCGAACTCACGGACCGCGAGATCGTGACCTGGCTGAAGTCGGACGCTTAACCGACTGCGCCACCCAGGCACCCCGAAAGCCAAGATTCTAACTATCTATCTATCATCTATTATCGAAAGATAATTCCAAAGAACCATATTGTACTTCTTAGAAGGACTCCAGACTTTACAGAAACTGAGACACTGCAGATGTTTGCTTAGTTATTTCAATGTTCTTTCCTCATCTAACACTTACAGGAAAGGTTTTGGTTTTTAACCAAGTGAAGCTCACTCACTGGTTTGTGTCCAGTAGCTCCCTCAGTCCCCTCAGCCTCATCTTGCTCTATATTCAAATTTAACTTAAAATGTACTCTCATTGAAGAAATGGGAGGATTTTTTTCTTGTTTTTAAATTAAAAATCCCATTAAAATTCTACCACAAACATCAAAATCCTATCTGTTAGAGATATAGTACCCAAACTAGTAGCTTCTTTGTCAAATCAGAGTATACTCACTGGATCATCTGGAAATCATTTTGAGAATGTGATAAAGACACCCAGTAGTGATGACCAGGTCTAAATATTATTGTCAAAATGATCTTTTACTGGAACGGGATATTGCTAAGTCAGGGAAAGGGCAAATGATTCTGGGCTATTCAACTGGGACCAGGATGTCAATGTCAGAGGAGGATGCAATGAAGATCTGGTCAACAGATTTAGGTTCAAATTTGGATAAAAGAATACACTGGAGAACACTGAGGAGAAGGGCATTGTCATGCACATGCAGGAGAGGAAAAATAATTTATCTTTTACCCTCCAGGTACTTGACTAAGAAGCCTCCTGTAATAAAAAGATTAAAAGAAGAAAAACCAAATTTAATTACATACATAGGTATGTATGGGAGCCCTACAAAGATGTGAGACTAAAAGAGGAAACCAAAGCAGGAAGCTTTTAGACAAACACTAATTCTGTGAAGAATTGATAGGGCAGAGGGGTTCGGGCTAGGGGAAGTAAATGGTGAAGAATTAACAAGATTTATTTATATAGCCTTCTTGGCTCCCAATTCCCTATCCCTGGTGATAAAGATGCCTTCTATCCTCCTGGTACAGGGAGGGCATCTTTCACATGGGAGATTTCTCTCCTTCTTTTAGGGGGATAAAGGGGAGTTGTAATGTCCCTCCTGCACTGGCTGTTTCTCAGGTACCTTTAATTGAAAATAACCAATATGCCACAGTGGCATATTCTGGGATGACATATTCTGAACCCCTACACACAAACAAGGTGGAACTGGACAAAAATTCTAGCCCCTGGGCAGCCAGATCTGAAGAAACCCTGGGGTTAAGGGCAGCAGGACCCTAGGTAAGTGAAGCCTACAGACAATTCCCAAATTGCATTTGATTATCATTTTTCACCTTTGTTCTTGACATGTGTGTTTAGTATTTGAGATTCAAAGTCCTTTTTATCCTAACAGGCAATATGGAATAGTGAGAAGAGAAATAAATCTAGAGATAGAGTATGAGCCTCAGGCAGGAGGAGTGGAAGCAAGTGGGCTCCAGAAGAACTCAGACCACAACTCTAGCCTCAGTTCTGTCACATACCAGACCTGTGCACTTGGGCACATTCCCAAGCATTGTAAATCTTAGGTTCTTCATCTGAAGAGTCTGATAAGCCTTGTCATATGGAACTGTCTGAAAGAATTCAATATATATGTAAGGCACCTGTTATAGTGTCTGACATAACTTAGGTCTTTAATCAATGACAGTTATTACTGCAATTATTTTAACCACAGATCCCATCAACCTCACCTAAGTGATTTTTTAAAAATCTAGTTTGTTTCAAAAAACATGAAGTACTACAGGGCATGGAATATCAGATCAACCAAAATGCTACTTAGCAAGTAAACCTCAGTAAATATATCCCCTCGGATGTTGTGTTCTTTAATAATAGAGAATTTCTTCTCCATCTGGATGCAACTCAAAATTCCTAGAATTTGTGACAAGGACCAAGTACTTGCCTCCCTAGCTTCTGTTCCATTCAGATCACTCCTATTCTCATTAATTTCACAGTCATAAAAATATAAGCATTTCTTAGACTATGCAAAATTACACTGAAAATAACTTATTTAAAGTATGCCTTAAATGGAGTAGTCTCAGGCTCTCCCAGGCCAGGGCAACAAAAGCCAACCCAATGGTTTCCCGGTATCTTATCTCAATGAAGTATCAGTTATCTCTCAAAACTCTTCAAAGACTATGTGTATAAAAATTAGTTTGTGGGGGTGTTTGGGTGGCTCACTCATTTGAGAGTCCAGCTCTTGGTTTAGCTCAGGTCATGATCTTGAGGTTTATGAGATCATAAAGGCTCTGTGTCAGGCTCTGCACTGACAGCATGGAGCTTACTTGGGTTTCATTCTCTCCCTTTCTCTCTGCCACTCCCCATCCTACACCCCCCCCCAAATAAATAAATAAACATTTAAAAAAGTGTTTAAAAACTTCATTTGTGAATTATGTTCAATGGCACAGGGACAATATCACAGAACAACTTGTATTCCTTCCCCAATGGAGATTTATGTCTTTTTTAACCATTACCCAAAGTAAATAAAAGAACAGTTTTGCAATCAGGATTTGTGAGTCTCAATTCAGTGACAAACTCTCTGAAGCTCTAATATCTGATCACCACCCCCCGCAGGCTCAGCTTGCCTACATCCAAATTTAAGTTAAAAATTAACACTCACTATAGGAATTCCAGGTTCCCCAATCCCCAAATTTACTTTCTCCAGGGCACTAACATTTTACAGTCTCAAATGGAACACCTCTACTCACATACTAACTCCTTCTTTTACTTGCCCCTTAGATATGAGAAGATATCCCACCATAATTATAGGATTGCTGATCCTATAGATAAAAATTAAAAGGGCAGGTCGTAGGTCTTGTTAATGCTAGAATCTCCAAGACCACCATAGTGATTTCCAAAAGCAAATGTTCAGTTAAGGTTTGGGGAATAAAAGAAACAAACAGGGGGTCTAATATATTGACATTTATTTTTATATATCCATAAACAAGTTCAGCATATTAAAGAATATATAATCTAATTTTATAAAAAAAATATAAAAGGCAAAAGGGGGCCACAGATTGACAATTTTTTTTTCCATTTATTGAACTCAACCACCTTAAAACTGATCACTCTCAGATTTGCAGTAAATACCTACTGCAGTTCCAAGTTATCTTTTCCAAGTAATTATTTAAGATGGTTTCACAGTTAGTTTAATAAAATAACAAAACTCACACTATATTAAACCTCATCATAGCATTAAATTTGTGACCTATACTTTCATAAACTTGGAGATTTTGACTAATTGAATCTATATCAAAAGAAACACTATTTAAACAAATGCATAAGTTTAAAAAATAATTTTCAAGTTACACAATATAGGAACACATAGACATATAAACTATTGCTTTCACCTCATCACAGACCTAAATTCTATGAACACTAACTGACCTTCTCAAAGACAAAGTGACGAACCTGCCTCAGGCTTCACTAGGGGCAAGAGAAGTGACTGGACTTAGCACTACAAACTTGCAGTGGCCACAGAAGTAGAGATAGCCATGGCTGACATTCTGGCTCGGGTTCTCTCTTCTTCTTCTTGCAAAGCCTCCTCATACTGAGATGGGAAAGAACTCGGGTCAGTCCCATGAACCTTGGCCAGAAACTCCAGGACTTTCATCTTGGTGGTTTCAGCGTGGGCTCTTGAGCCCCAGAGGAATTCAAATTGTGCGGGATCACTGTTGGCCACCTGGCGGTATTCCAGGTACTTTCCCTTCACGAAATCTTGGGTGATGAGCTTCCTGGGGTCCCCAAAGAGGGAGTGCTTCCTCCCGGGATATATCCCCGTCAACTTCAGAACTTCCCAGACTTCCTTTTCAGTGGCACTGTTGCCCTTCATGAAGATCACACCCAGGATAAGTATCAGGACACCCGTCTTGGGTATGCCCTCTTTACCATGCAGCACCCCATCATAGGTGAGGCCCAATTTGATGAAGAAGGCATAGCAGTGGTTGATGGGATCCACTTCCTTCACATCAAGGCCGAAGACCACCTCCATGCGCTCAGAGGCTTTCAGGAAGACCTCAGCGAAGTGCTCTTCATACCCTTTGATGACGATCTTCATATCTGCCTTTGTCATGAGCTCTTTCTTTAGATACTTGAACAGCATGAAATCCACCAACAAAGCCACCATCTTATCTAGGGCATCTACAGGCACATTCTTGGCATCTGGCCCAGCCCCTGAGGTGCTATCCTCCTCTTCTTGGCTATCGGAGCCCTCATTCAGCTCACTTGTTGAGGTGGTTGCGATGGCAATGGAAGAGGAGCAGAAACTCTGAGGATTCTCGGGGTTGCTGGGTATACCAACACTAGGAGCCTCCTTCGAAGTGCCAGGCATTAGAGGATGGGAGGAGAGACAGGTCTCCTCCAGAGCCTTGGAGTCGTCTGCATCCTCCAGGCCCTGGGTCACACTGCGGGCTGGAAGGCATCGATCACATGAGTATTGTGGACTCTTCTGGGGCAGAGGCATGATATCTCTTGTGGATGGCAGTAGGCAGGAGTGTGGACAAAAAGGTGGGCAATGGGGAATCGCCACCTAAGAGGAAGAAGGCAGATGTGAGTAGCCTCAGCTGCTAAACTCAACTGGGGTGGCACTGATTAAGAGCTGTCTCCAATGGACTTCTCATGACAACACTGCTATAGGGCCTCACAGGTTTCCTGACTCCTGGTTGCTGTGTCCCAGAAGGGCATGAAGGAGGAAGTCAATGCTCCGGAGGATGCAGCTAGCAAACCCAAGCTGAGAATTCTCAGGGATCACACTAGGCAGGTGTGGTTGGCTCTACAGAGCCATTTCTGTTCTGAGGGTGCTCCCATCAATCCTCACTCAAGTTCATTACCTTGGCATTCAACAGGGCCTGGCTCATCTCCCCATGCTACTATGAGGCGGTGCCCCTAAGACCAAAGTCACATCTCCTAAGACCAGGAACCCTGGAGGTACCTCCTCCAGAAAGCCTACCTGGGGTTTCCCAGGGCTGACAACAGGAGCTAGATTCTGTGGATGCTATTTGTACTGGTGTCAGTGCCCACCTCCCCCCCAATCCCACCCCCCCAGTTTTCATTCCGTTGCCCTGCTTTGAATCCAGGCAAATCCTGGGATCTCTTCATTTCCTGAACTAGCACTGCCCCCTGAGACCAAAGGCTTCGCCTCAAGATGGGGAAGAGGTAATTAGTGGTCACAACTACCATAGAGCCTTGCCCATAGCCTCTCAGCACTGAACAGGGCCAGGCTAGGCTTGTCTTCCCCATTCTCTTGTGGTCAGCAGTTCCTCAGTATGCACTCAAAGTACTTGCATTGGCTACTGGTAGGGCCTCAGGCAGGACCAGTCTGCCAAGTGATGTTAATCACTCATGATACAAGAGTGCTTTATTTTCCTGAGTCACCCCAAGAAGTTTAGGGAGGATGCCATGTATCCACCTTTATTGGGTTTTTCCTGGAGTAATAGGAGGAGCTAGGCATTCTAGGGGTCCCTCTGTTCTCAGGTGAGTAAGCCCTTTGGACCTCATTCAGGACGCTTGCTGTGACTGTTGGCAAGCCCTGGGATCCTTCCTTTGCGGACCTCGTGTAACGTGGGCACGTAGGCCAAGGACCTCAACCACCTGAAATGCCCAGGAAGGAAGAGAATACACAATTTAGCATGGGATACTTGCCCAGTTACCCTGATCTGATAAAGGTACGGGGGCTCCTCGGTGATCCTATGTTCTGGGCTGGATTGTTTTCGCTCTTTACTGTGAGTTTCTATACAAATTCCTGCATTGTCTGGTCACTCTTATCCATTGCTAATCTGAACCCACCCCCTGCAGACCAAGACTGCCACCTCCCTAGGACCACAGTGTATAACCTGTAGTGCTAAGGATTCTGACAGGGGCGTCTGGGTGGCTCAGTCAGTTAAGCATCTGACTCTCGATTTCGGCTCAGGTCATGATCTCACGGTTTGTGGGTTCAAGCCCCACATCAGGCTCCATGCTGGCAGTGAGGAGCCTGCTTGGGATTCTCTCTCTCTCTCTCTCTGCCCCTCTTGTGCTCTCTCAAAATAAATAAAATAAACTTAAAAAAAAGAGATTTCTGACCATTTTTGTCTGGGGCTTTTCAGGAAACAAGTATAGGCGTAGGGCTATATATCATGTATATATATATATAGATCATATATATATATAGATCATATATATATATATGATCTCTCTCTATATATATATAGATCTATATATAGATCATATATATATCATGGGGTCCCCTCTGCATTCAAGTGGATGGTCAAGTGTTTGCTCAATCACGATCTGTATCTTGAATCTTGACAATGTATAAGACTCTTGCCCTGGGAGGAATTAGGGGCCCATCACATCCAATTTTGCAGGTGTGACAAAGGGACACAGTTCTGTAGCTATCAGTCTGTTCTGACGTGGGTGTCTCCATCAGTCTCACTTAGGGTGCTTTCTTCGACTACTGGTGGGGCCCGGGATCTGGTATCACTTCCCCGGATGAACTTTCATCACCCTCAGTTCACTACCCAGGAAATGAGGGAATGTCTCAGCATGAGTGTTCTGCCCAGAACTTCCCAGGGCTGTCACGGGAACTAAGTAGGGTTATGATAGGTTCCAGTCTTCTGGGATGGGTAGTTCTCTCAGCCCTCACTCAAGGTCTTTACTGTGGCTAATGGTTGGGCCTCAGACAGAACGTGTCTGATTCCTAATGCCACTCTTGCTCCCCAAAGGCCTGTTCTCTCTTAGACAAGTGAGAAGGCATGAAAAGTCTCATCTAGTCACCATAGCCAGGCTTACCAGTATTCACAGTAGGGGCTAGACACTCTGGGACCAGTATGTTCTGTGGTGGGCAGGCCCCTCAAACCTCTTTCAGGAAACTCACTTTAACCCATTGACAATAAAAGCCGTCACATTCCAGTGAACGCCATGGAGGAGTGATTGGGTGTCTCCTCTGGCTATCACTGCTCAGAATCTCCCAAGGGTTCCCTGTGATCTGTGCAACTACACTCGTATGTGGCGAGTTTGCCCTTCAAATATGGCTCAATGACCTCTGCCAGGGCCTGGAACTCCTGCTGACTTAACAAATCCTTTAACCTCCTGAGCCCCAGAGGAGGAAAGGAAAAGTCGCCTCCGCCCACCATCCCTTCCCTGAGCCTCTCAGGGCTGACAACAGGGGAAGGGCTCCTTGGAGCTCCTCCCCCATCAGTTGGTCGAGCCTACAATCCTCACATGCGCTAGGCAACCTGAATACTGCTTGGTGTTATTACCACTGCCATCTATCACCTGACGTTCCACCTTCCAATCGAGGCCCCACAAGTCTGAGACACCCAGAAAGGAAGTGAGGAGCCACCCCATCCACCGGCATCAAGAGCTGACAACACAGGCTTGACGCCGTGCCACAACGGCTACCCGGGATCAGTGGAAGCATGAGAACTCACGAGGGGTCCTTGCCGGGACTCCTGCCTTTGCCGACGTGACACCAACTACCTCAGACTAAGCTCTCACCTCCCTCAGACTCTGGAGGCAGAAGTCAGCCACACTTCCCATCGCCCCTGCCCGAAGTCTGTCAGGGCTGACAGACGGGCTGAGGCTCGGTGAGCCCGCCGCTGTCTGGGGTGAGTGGTTCCCTCAGCATTCACTCGGGAGCCTCTTCTGGACTAGCAGTAAGTCAGGGGACTCTTAGCCCCCCCACAGAAAGCTTTCACCTCAAACAGATCCAAAATGGAAGTGCATGGTAGATCAGCCTGACAGACTGGTCTGGCGCCTCCCTGGGTTGGACTGGGGCTCTCATCTAATGGGTCCCCTCATTTCTGTGGCAGGAGGTCCCCTCAGTCCTCATTTGGAATCTTACTTGCTGCCGAGGTGCAACCGGGACTCTTTCGGCGGCTGACTTGGTTCCACCGGCCTAAGATGGAATCCCGCACAGCCGAAAGATCTGTGGGAGGAAGTCAGGGGGTGGGACATCCGGTTACGCCTGCGGGGCTGGGCGTAGGGGGGGGAGGGCGTAGGGAGGGCGTAGGGAGGGCGTGGAGGGGCATGGGAGGCGTGGCCAACAGCAGGGGCGGGGCTCTGTGCACAGAGCTGTTTCACAGTGGAGATTGTTGTACGTCCCTACGGGTCACGTTGTCTTCCTGCTGACTTGTGTCAGCCCTGGAATCAGTCCTCTCTTGTTCCCCACTGATTCCTCTCATGACGATGTCCTTACTTTCTTAGAGCCTTTGAGAGGAACTGAGGAAATGCCACAGATGGTGGATATTTAGAGCTCAAATATGGCACTGGCCCATGTGTGTGACCTCCCTTTATTCTTTGCTGTTTGTCTCCTGTGACGTCACTCAAAAATTTTTTAAAAATATTTTTTATTGAATAAATTTGAAATACATAACATTGTGGAAACTAAATGTGTACTGTGTATTAATTTGGTATATTTACATGTCGGAAAATGCTGTTCTCGTGTTACTGGTTACATTGCATAAGAAGGGTATTTTAGTGTCTGCATTATATTGTGCATTAGATTTCTATGTCTTATTTATTCCCGGTTGCAACTTTATACCCTTATTCAATATTAGTGTTACCTCTCCTTCCCCCATCCCTTGGTAACCACCATTTTACTCTGTTTTTTACTGGTTTGACCCTTTTAGATTCTACATATAAGTGGTGTCATATAGTTTTTGTCTTTCTCACTTATCTCACTTAGGATAATGTGCTCAAGTTCCATCCATGTTTTTACAAATGACAAGATATCTTCCTTTCTCACGGCTGAATAATATTCCATCACATATATTTTTATCCATTCATCCCTTAATGTACATTTGCATGTTTCCACATTCTTCTGTCTTCATTCATGGAGTTCTCCTCATGGCTTCTTTCTCTTTTATTAATGCTTCTTAGAAAATGTCATATCCCAGCAAACTCTTTATAAGGTTTCTTACTGAAACCCTTGCAGAGCTTGGATTGAGTCATGTCCTACCCTTAATGGGAAATGGGATAATTGGAGTGTAATACAGGCAGGGACCAGGGCAGGTGGTGGGCTGTCTCAGAAACATCACACTATCTATTCCTTTTCTTCACCAGTCAGATTTATTTTTTTACATAAATTGTATTCTGAATACTTAATTTATGCATGGAAAGGACTGTGATGAATGATTTCGAAAGCTGCTGATTTTTTGAGGTCATATGAAGTTACATATGCAAGTGATCATATTTTCACTGAATATTATCTCTCTGTGCATTTTTCCTACTTCTTGTCATTTTTCTATGCTTTTTGTTTTCAGGATGTCTTTAGACTAGTTTCAGTTTGTATTTGTTGATAAAATACTCAGTTTCTAGGGGCGCCTGGGTGGCGCAGTCGGTTAAGCGTCCGACTTCAGCCAGGTCACGATCTCGCGGTCCGTGAGTTCGAGCCCCGCGTCGGGCTCTGGGCTGATGGCTTAGAGCCTGGAGCCTGTTTCCGATTCTGTGTCTCCCTCTCTCTCTGCCCCTCCCCCGTTCATG